GGTGACTGGATCATAGCTGAACGGGGTTCACCACTGAATGTTTCATTAAGAGGTGGGGCCAGATAGAGGAGGTGCATCGCTGGGGCTGTGCCTTTGTAAGGCTATCTCTCTACTGAGCACTTCCACTATGATGTTTCTGCTTTCGAGTCAGCTGACCATGGACTGAAACCTCTGAAACTGTGAGTCAAATGAAACTCCTTCTTTAAATTATAGGTGTGAAGTAGTTTGTCCAGCGATGAGGAAGCTGCCTGACAGTTATGGAAAATTAGCTTGTTCTCATTTAGCCTCTGGTTTCCATGCAAGATATGAGAATTTCACTTCCATTATAGAATGGAGCAAACACTGGGTAGTTGCACTGGGGTCCTCAAGCCAGCTCAGATGCTAAAGCCTTGCATAGTCTTGAGGAAGTCACTCAGCTACTCTTGCTTTTTGTGACTCACACTGCAACAGTGAGGATAATAATAGGCTATGCAGAAGAAGGGCTGTGCAGGTCATCAGGTGGAGTTTGTTCCCAAGTTTTGAAAATATGTATGAGATTATAAAGAGAGAACATTCGCATGGCTGGCAATAGCAGATAAGGTGACATATGTTTTAACAAGAAATATTACTGAGAATAAAGGCTAACATCAACTGGTTGTTATATGCTCTTTTATATTTAATTCATCTTATTTAAGCCTTACCACAATTTGAAAACACTAAAACACTCTACAGTTGAAGGGACTCAGGTATAGACAAGAATACAAGTATAGTAAAGGCTCAAATCTAGGTTATTTCATTCTAGAACTTGTAGTCTTCCATCATTCATTAAAAATATCTGTTTTAGGGGGTTATCTTTTAAAAAATAAACAAATCACTTAAGGTTAAATATTTGTATAAGAGAATTTCAGAGATATTTAGCCTTAAAATTTTTTCTGTAACCTGTAGTTCCAGTTTTTATCCATAATTCAGAGTCTAGGTGATGCTAAGGAACTTATCCAAGATTCTGTTCTACCCAGAACAGACAGAATAAACAACATTTCCTGTCTATCCCCAACTACCATGGTTGGGTGGCTATTTTAGCTGTTATGAGTGAGGGGTGCTATTGGTATGTAATGGGTTGAGGCCAGGGATATTATTAACACCCTACCATACACAGAGTGGCTCTTCACAACAAGGAATTATCAGGTCTAAAATGCCAGGGGTGTCAAGGTAGAGAAACACTGCTGCTGAATGAAACAGGATGATGTAATCGAACTACTGAATTAATTGCTAACTTAAGAATTGCTCATGCAACTCCACAACTTCAGATATCAAAAGGAATTGTAAGAAAACAAGTCGAAGGAAGGTGTGGCACCTTCAGAAGCCCCTGGGCCACAGGGGAAGTGCCTCATATGTGGTGAAGGGGTTGAGCTCAGAGAGAGGGATCCCAGCTCAGCTATGCACTGACTGAGCAGGCTATTACATTACCTCTCAAAATTCTTTCCCTCAGTTCTACAATGGGCACAAGAGGACCCGCGTATCTGGCACACAGAGAGTGCCTGATGAGCTGGCAGGACTGTTATTACATTAGGACTTCTCAGTGGTTGCAGCCAGAGCAAGGAATGAATGAGCTGGGATAGCACCAAGACCCAAGAACCGGTAGCTGCCTGCTTTCTGGAGAGCAAACAAGCAGCATCATATACATACACAGGTGACGACATTGCCAGCCAGTTCTCCTCCCTGTATGGCGGATCTGTCTGCAGGGAAGGGTGGAAAGTCCTCTCCCTCCCTACGCAGTAGAGTTCTGGGACGTGACTCGTTCTAAGTATGGTTTTTGTTTATCTTTCCTTCCCCATCTCAGTGCTTCATCTGTTCAAATACAGCAAAGAGACATCCAAAAGTAGAGATGTTCAAACCAGCAGATTTCACATAACATTCCTGATTCTTGTCATTCAAACAGGAAAACTGCATAGGCAGATAGCACTAGAGAAGAGTTATTTTTTTGCTGTGAGTTAGCATTAGACTTTGAAATTTTTTTCTTTACACCAAAATGTAAAACTGGTGTCAACACACCCCTCCTTGGCTTTGCTCCATCTGGAGGCCTACAAGAGTTTTGTGCTTTCTCTTTTCATGGGCAATGTGAACATTATCCACCCTTCTCTAGAAATTTCCATGAGGCAAAGCCAAATTATCTCAGTTGTGATTGTTATTTCTTCCCTCAGCTGGAAATCCAAATGTGATTGGTAGATTTTTAAGACTACAGTTCTACAGACACAGGCACCCAACACTTTTTAAGGAGATGTTATATTTTTAATCAAGTAAATATATTAATTACTAAAAGGCTTCCCACCTCCTGCCCTTCCACAAATCCTGCCCATGAATTTCTTGCGGGTTTCCTAGGACACAAGGAACAGGGGCTTGCTGCTTCACAGCCTTGATTACGAGGGCTGAGAACTCCTCAGCATACATCCCCATGGTTGGATGTCCTCATTTTTTCCCCCAGTTTTCAGTAATTTCTGTGTTATGTTTGGGTGTGGCAGAAGCAGATTTCAGGGCAAGTCTGCTGTGACTTATATTTGGAAGTTTGCAGGAAGACAGAGCCTGAAAGGAAGGAAGCCACTAATCTTTTCCCTTCCTGCTTCCTTCTACTTCATCCTCTTAGCCTAGGTTCTGGGGGTTATTAAGACCTATCATGGATTTTACTGGCAAATTCAGCTGAACCCTGAGAAAAACCCATGTTCTTATAATAGGAAGGTTCTCCATTGGAAGAATCGTAAGGATAACGTCACTGTCCTTATTTTGCAGCTAGCTAACTATGAAACTGCATTTTATGTGTCTCTCTGAACCTCACATTCCTCTCTCGAAAATGAGTGGGCAGGAACTGCTGATAGTGATGTTGAATTCTCAAAGCCTCTAGGGATTAGACTAAGGGGGAAAATGAATGAAATCTATGAATGCAATGGGCCAGGAAAGGCCTGTCCCAAACTGGGGAATCCACGTCCCTTCTGATGGGGTAGGCTTTACCTCCAGATGATTCCATAGCCCATGCTTCATACAAATGTGGGCCCCAGGACACTGATCCATCCTATTACTTTATTCAAGAGAAACCTGAAATCCCATAAATTGATTTCTAAGTGAAATATACTGAGTCTCCAACTTTCATTTAGAAATGAATACTGGGTGGCCAAGCATGCCAATGGGCAAAAGATAGCCCCCAGGGCTGGAAGATCACCTACTCTGAGTATCATTTTCTCCGTGACTCTGAAGAAAACCCAGCTCCATAATTTGTGTTCAAATATAATACATACATACATACACAAACACACACACAATCCCATGCTTTACTCTTAGATAAAATAATCACCAATATTCAGAGTCTGATTGTAGCTTGATTCAGCTACAGAACATGTCAAGTTGCTTATTTCATTCCAGAACTCCGAAAAAGTTCTCTCTATCACAGTACTCACAGAGAGTGATGTCCACAAAAAATCACCAAAACTGTCTCATGTTTCATACTACATGCATCTGCCTCCATATAGCTTGTGACTATTGGTTAATTAGACTTCTTCCCGGAAATCATGTGGGCAGGAACATAGGAAGTGGAGGCAGACATGCTACTCTGACTGTGGATGTTCAAATACATTAACTTGGTGAGATGTAAAACAATGTCACTGCTTAAATTTTAACTGGAATGTGCATATTTCAGGCCTTCATGTCTTAGGATTTATTTGAATTTTATATCTTAGAAACGAAAGTGGCCGTTTTTTTTTTTTGTTTCCTCTATAGTTTCAGTCACTTCCAGAATGTCCTGAATTGATTTCTAGTAAACATCTTAGATCAGGTCTAGGAGAAATAATTAAATAAAACAAAGCTACCTACAATCAATACAGCAGGCAAATACAGGCAGGCTTGCCATCCAGAGTTTGCTGTGCTGCCCATCTAGTACAAATGTTGATGGTGTCGCTGCTAGAATCGAGTCTCTCTACTGGCTTGAGGCGTCTACACAATGCATATTTGGCCCCTAACACTCTGTGTTCACTTTTGCTGTACAGCTGAGGCCATGAAACATCTCTAAATTACAATGGAAAAGCCATCCACCTGTAACTCTCCACAGTATTTTGAAAAGGTTTAGAGCCTCATAGAAAAAGTCTATGACTTGAATCAAGAGTCTTCAATGACGGTCCTTAAACCTTGGAAGATCATAATGGAGCAATCAAATTTTAAAGCAAATCCCAGCAGCTAACATTGAAAACAATTTTTCAACAAAGAAAGAAATTACAATAAAACAAAATAAAAAGCTTACCTAAATGATCCAGCAACCAGCTACTATTATCCAAGTTTCATAAATTAATGTTATTTTGACACAAAAATAATGGTGATACCAAAATGAAGGACTGTCCCTTCAGTTGAATAAAACCAATTTCATTAACAACTTACCATATTTTCCTGTTTTTTTTTTCCTTTTCCATTGGGCCACACCAACTCTGGAAGAATGTGGGAACCCCTATGTTGGCCCTCTAATGACCCACAATTCTCTAGTCCTTAACAGAGAACTCAGTACATTACTGGATACAATTTATCATCTACCAGAAAATATTTCAACTCAAGAGTATTTTCTTTGTCTTTTGTAATCAGAAACCTTGTAGGAGATTCCAAAAGTTAGATTTTGATTTTAATGAAGTAGGTGCCTTGTTCTAAAGCCTTTGCATTTGGGGCTCATGGTTGGAAATATGAGGGGGTTTGGATACAAATTATCACCCAGAAGGCAAATAAAGTGGTGTGATGTTGCATGCTTATCATTCCAGCTACTCAGGAAGCTGAGGCAAGAGGACTGCACTTTTGAAGTCTGCCAGGGCAACTTAGCTGTCTCAAATACTTTTTTTTTTTTTTTTTTTTTTTTTTTTTAAAGGGCTGGAGTTGTAGCTCAGCAGTTAAAGCACTTCCCTAGGACGAGATAAATAAAATTAAACGGCAAACAAGCTGTACGAATCTAGCAGGATCCTACAGAGGCTGTGACCCCCCGGAGGAGAGGCGAAGGTTACCTTCGGAATGCACATGGTGGGCTCGGACAGGCGAGGGTAGGTGTAGGAGCTGTAGGAGTGGCCCTGGGGGTGGGATTTAAATGCACTTGCTCCGAATGGCATCAGGGGCTCCTGCAGCCCGGAGCCGGACTTGGACCTCTGCCGCATGGCCGGCTGCGGGCTGGTCTGGGTCAGGTAGGAGGAGCGGGGCCTCCGCTCGTAGTCGTCCAGGCCGGGCGCCCAGTCGCTCTCGCTGTAGGCCAGGCTCTCCTTGGAGGTGCGGGGCGGCGGGAAGGCGAAGGCGTAGTCCAGGGGCGAGCTGCTGACGGCCCGCGGCGGCTCCCAGCGCAGGTCCACCGCCTCTGCAGCCCGG